TGCTGATAAAATCGCATCGTATGAGTGCGCGGGATACTCAAAACATATTTCAGTTGGTAGGAAATTTTGAATTTTGCCCTGGTGGCAATTTAAGACTATTTAGAGATCTTTAACGTGCACAACGTGCACACGGGAACTTCGATATTTTTCACCCTTGTCTGAGAACGCTAGGTGTAGAAGTGTGATGTGAAAGTGCGAAAAATGTGATAAACTGTATAGGAATGACACCCCAAGAAATACTATAAGGTTGAACAGGAACCAATAACAACAACAACAAAATGTACTTACGTTAAAACAAATTAATTTTAAGCTCATATTTTCCGGGAGCAAAAGCAGCACAGGAGGATAATGTTTTTTTGTTGTTTGGAGACCAAATCTTTTTTTTTTTCACTTATTTTTTAAAAATCACTTCGCTATTTCGGGGGAAATGTGGCGAACGATGGTTTTGGAAATAATTTTTAGATACCATCTATAGCTGCCAAACAAAAGGCCACCCCAAAACTAAAATCAAAGGCCCAATTGTTTACGCATACAGTTAACAACAATCATCATAATGCTCCAGACTTATTCAGTTTGAAAGCAGCAATAGGTGCTTTCAGAGCCAATTTTTCTATCAAGAAATCAGGTTTGAAATCGATTGAAGAAACGCTTTACCTTTATTCATTTTGGCCCGTTCAAAGATTTAGGGGAAATAAGCGTGGAATATCGAAAATCATGTGATAAAAGGTAGCTTATTCCCCTTGCTACGGATGCCCTGTGCATCTCCCGTTATAACACCCCCTCCCCTTTTCCTCCTCCGTTCTCACCCTCTTCCTAGGCCCCTGTGTGATGACGTCACCTCCCTTCCGCCACAGCATGACGTCAGCGTCCGGCACATAGCACTGGAACATGGCGGCCTGGCCCTCCCGCACTGTTTTGTTACTGGGCGACTTCTCCACGTCTGAGGAGAAAAATATCGTACGTCACGTGACCATCAGGTCGTTAAAACACCGGCTTACCGATGAACACATGGGGAAAGTTGTAGGCATCTTCCTTTAGCAACACTCCACTAAGTAAGACGGAATGCTAGATTCTATGTACTATCTTCCTATTATGAACACACGTATAAACAAGTTCAACAAAAACATGGGTAGAGATGACGGTGAGTTTAGTGAACAAATAATACGCAAATGTAATCAGAAATCTGAATGTCTGTGAGTTCAGTTGACACATGTTTTTTATGTAAGTATACAGAAAGTTTTATTTCTGAGAGTCCAATAAACACGAGTAGGGAAGACTGTATGTCTATGAGTTCAACACACACACACACACACACACACACACACACACACACACACACACACACATACACACACACACACACACACACACACACAAGTGCTCTTGTAAAGAAGCCTGTGATGTCAATTAGCACACAAGCATGGCGTGTAGAAAAGCCTGTGATGTCAAAAAGCACACAAGCACGTGTAGAAAAGGGTGTGATGTCTGTGAGTTCAAAAGATAAACGTGCATTTGTAGAGATGACCGTGAATTCAATAAACTCAATTGTAGAAAAAACTATGGGCTTAATAAACACACGAGTACATGTTAAGTTAAGTGTGGATTCAATAAACACATTGGCCTAATTACATGTTGAGATGACTGTGAGGTCAATAGAGTCTAGCACATGAGCACGACAAGAGGAGATCGCATATTATAGAAAAGAATGGGAATTCAATAAACATACGAACACGTGTAGACAAGACTGGGTTCAGCAATATATGTGTACGTGTTGAGAAGACTGTAATATCAATGAAAACATACGATCACGCTAAGAGAATACAGCATGTAGAGAAGAATGTGAATTCAATAAACAAGCGAGAACATGAAGAGAAGACCAACCGAGGCTGCAGGGTTCCGTTAGTTCAATCCACATAGAGCGCTCGGCGAGGTCACCAGGCGTCACTGCCATGCACGTGTATCTACCCGAGTGCTCGTCTGTGACCTCTGGGATGACCACCACACCTCCTGGGTGTACCTCCACCCCACGCGACCGGTCAGTGGTGGTCAAAATGCGGTCATGGAACAACCTGGGGACAAATACCGGGAATGCTATAACGATTGGACCAACAATAAATAGTTGCGTAACTTTTTTATCTGTTTACAAATGGGAAAATTTGCCTAAATTCCCCCCCCCCCCCCCCATTAAAAAATTCCATCCCCCCTCCCCTTTCTTTTATCTTCTTCTATCATTTACCTGAGACGACATGTTACGCAGAGTGGCAAAATAGTTAGATGTTTTTGTAGGTTGTCAAGCAAAACCATTTTAAAAAGTGAGAAACTGACCACATGACGTTGGCCTGAGCATCGCTGACTGCACACTCCAGGATGGCGCTACTGCCCAGCCCCAGAGACATGTTGGACGCCATACGGGTGAAGTACAGGGCGCCTCCTTCTGTCAGCTGGGGTAGGGGTGGTGGCGGTGTGGGGTGAAGGAGAAGAAAAAAAAGGGAACATGGGGTGTTAGTAAAAACACGAATAGATGGGTGGGGAGGGATAAAAAAAGAACATCCTCCTGTTGACAAGTGAAAGACTGATTTACATATATACATTTTTTAATAATTTTTTTTTGTTTTGGGGGGGGGGGGGTGTATGATGAAAACATGACTGTAATTGGTGGCTTTTAAGGACAAGCGGGCTAACCCATATTTCGGGGGTTTCCAGAAATCTTGACCTTCACCCAAAGTGGGCTTTACCCTATCTATCTATCTCATATAAATGGGCAAGGGAAAAAAATAAAGACATGACGACCCACCGTGACCGCCTCCTCACAGAACTGCCCGGTGAAGCCGTTAGTACACACACAGACAGCGTCTCCGTTCTCCTCCCGACACACGCCATTGTTGTGACACTCCACCCGGTCACATGACGGCGGGGCGATGGCGTCACAGAGGGTGCCCGTGAAACGTTCGGCGCACTGACATCTGGAACAAATGGTTACGTGGTCTTGATAGGTCATAAACGATTCTAGAAGTTAAGTAATGCGTTTGCACAATTAGATATCGATCTGTGGGTTGTTGGCGGGTGGTCTGGTGGGGTTTGCTTCTTCTTTCATATTATGAAACATCTATCGTCCTTATCTCCCCTTCTTCTTTTTTTATGTTTGTTACCCTTTTGTAACGCCTTTAATCTTCTGGCGCTCATATGACCTTATGCAGTTGCGAGTGCCGTAAAACCTCTACTAAAACTAAAACTAAGACATCGATCTGCTTTGCTTTTTGTGTTTGAAAGTATTTAACAACTGTTCGAATCCAAAGGGGGCGCGCCTGTACAAATTGATTTGATGGCGAATATTTAGGTCAGTGCATATGTACTTGAAATTCGGAGGTCTAGTCTCTTACAAAACCTTTCAGTGTCAACAGCATCGTTAGCAAGAACACAAAATTAAACAACGTAGTACACAGAGGCACAACGTTTGAAGACGCAGACAAACACACTCAGACACATACAAACCAACATACACACATACATACATCCAGTTCCACAGATCCGTCTTCGAATAACACCCCTACAAACGCCCCTTCGTTCTGACATACATACAAACATATCGACACAAACACAAATACACACTAACAGTCACAAAAACACATATACACACATACCCACTTATATTGGCATTAACACACACACACACACACACACACACACACACACACACACTCACACACACACACACACACACACACACACACATACACATACATGCACACACACAAACAATCACTGACGAACACACGCACACACACAAACAGTCACAGACACACACATACACACACACATACACACACACACACACACCTCCAGTCCACAGAACCGTCCGCCAACAACACCTCTAGACAAGTCCCTCCGTTCTGACATACGTCTGGGCACGCTGCTCCTAAAAAATGAAGAAACAAAAAACTGATGACTGACCTTCATTTTAAAATTGTAAATATTCTAGCACCTTTTGCAAAATTGTATGGTTATTCAAGAGTTGGGACCTTCGAACTTAGCGACCATCTCCGATAAAGCCGAGCCAAAGGAGAACATTTGCATAACGTTTATTTCCCAAGGACACAACGTCGGACGGAGCTGAGCCTCGAATCACTGAATCTAAAATCGCACGATTACGGTTCTGGTAGCGTGACCACTACACAGCTTTACTGTGTTACTGCCAAAACACACACACATAAAAATATTTAGATAATAAAACCAATGCAGTTTGCTCTTTGGCGATTAAAAGGAGTTAACACGTTCATTATGAAACATACAGACTGGCGTTTGAGGTGTAATGGCCATTGCTAACAGAAGACATGTGAGATCGAATTCTGCTTGGGGAAATTCAAAAACAAGTAGTTTCTCTGTCTTTCTGCTGGGATTTTGTTTACCCTTCAGTCCAAACCGTTAAAACAGTAAAACAGATTTAGCAGACTATTACAAAAACAAAGCCATATCTTTGATTTCAATCGTCTTTTTTTCTAAATATGAGTTGGTACAATACATGTACAAGGGGGGGGGGGAGTAGGGGGATATCAAAATCGTCACCTAATATTTTTGAGACAGTTTATTGTATTGACATGATGGAGCAACAGACAAACGTACCATTAACAATGGGCGTTATGAGAACATGCGCCAAATAGCCGGCTTCGTGGACCGACATGTCAGACCGGAAGACAAGATCTAAGCCACGCCCCTCATATGTGATGATTGGCTGGCTGAGGTCATTTCCGCACATGCGCCGTATCGGTACACTCATGTCACTTGAGCTGTTGGGGGCTGTCTCATTGGCTGAGAGAGAGGAAAAGAAAGAGAAATAGAAAGTGCGACCTCTGACATATGACAAAACTGAAGTAACAACAACATAAACCAACAAAGGTATGCGTGTCTGATTATGGCCTTTATAATGTGCTGCCAGGGAAGGTTTGAGGATAGATAGATAGATAGATAGATAGATAGATAGATAGATAGATAGATAGATAGAT